AAAAAAAAAAAAAAAAAAAGACCGGGTGCAGTGGCTCACGCCTATAATCCCTGCACTTTGGTAGGCCAAGGTGGGCAGATCACCTGAGGTTGGAAGTTCAAGACCAGCCTGACCAATGTGGAGAAACCCCGTCTCTACTAAAAATACAAAATTAGCCGGGCGTGGTGGCGCATGCCTGTAATCCCAGCTACTCAGGATGCTGAGGTGGGAGAATCACTTGAACCTGGGAGGCAGAGGTTGCAGTGAGCCGAGAGCGCCATTGCACTCCAGCCTGGGCAACAAGAGCGAAACTCCATCTCAAAAAAAAAAAAAAAAAAATCAACCAACAAAAAAATACTGAGGCACAGATGGTGGGCAGCCAGCTAAGATGACCCGATGCACCTTCCAGCTGATTCAGGCTGCTTGCCTCAGTCTCAGAGTCACCACCACCATGGCCAGTCAGTCTCAGGGGTTCCAGCAGCTGCTGTGGGCCAAGAAATGTGCCACTGAGAAGGTATCCAAGGCGCATGAGCAAAAAGACCCAGAGGCTGAAGCAGATCAAAGGAGCAGCTGAGGATGAAACTTAACAGTACCACGTGCAGAAAGAGGAAGCGGTCCAGGTCAAGGAAGCCACAGCTCTGGAATCCCAGTAGCTGCAGCACTCAAGTGGCATAGGAAGCCCAGAAAAGGACCAGCCACCAGACCTACTTATGGCAGAAAAAGGCTTGGGTAGCCTCTTGGCCTCTGTGACATTGGCCAGAAATCCATGAAAACTACAGCATAAATGGAAAGGAGTGGGAGAAAGAAGTGCCTGTTCCATGAACCGGCATTTTAGATAACCTCAGGGAACATAAAGCTTTGGCAAAGCTCGTTACATTCCTACGAAAAAGAAGTAAATAGGTCGGATGCGGTGGCTCACACCTGTAATCCTAGCACTTTGGGAGGCCAGCGTGGGTGGATCACAAGGGTCAGGAGTTAAAGACCAGCCTGGCCAAGATGGTGAAACCCATCTCTACTAAAAATACAAAAATTAGCCAGGCATGGTGGTGGGCACCTGTAATCCCAGCTACTCGGGAGGCTGAAGCAGAGAACTGCTTGAACCTGGGAGGCAGAGGTTGCAGTGAGCCGAGATCGCGCCACTGCACTCCAGCCTGGGTGACAAAGCGAGACACCATCTCAAAAAAACAAAAAAAGAAAAAAAAAGGAAAAAAAAAAAGGCAGTGAACAGGTGGAGCGTGGTGGCTCACACTTGTAATCCCAGCACTTTGGGAGGCCAAGGCAGGCGGATCACAAGGTCAGGAGTTCAACACCAGCCTGGCCAACATGGTAAAACTCCATCTCTACTAAAAAAATACAAAAATTAGCCAGGCATGGTGGTGGGCACGCCTGTAATCCCAGCTACTCAGGAGACTGAGGCAGGAGAATTGCTTGAACCCAGGAGGCACAGGTTGCAGTGAGCTGAGATTGTGCCACTCCAGCCTGGGTGACACAGCAAGACTCTGTCTCAAATAAAAATTTTAAAAAATTTAAAAATTTAAAAAAAAAAGGAAGTAAAAGATTTCTGTATATTACATAGCAGGTCCCTTCACTTCTTGGAGAGTAGCAAATCTAGCTTCTTTGTACAGACTTACAACTCAACTAAAGCTCTTGTATTTTAAAAAGGACATTAAAAAAATTTTCTCTTTACCTCGTATTTCATAGAAATGTAATGGGTATGTGTTGTCTGTTTTCCTATGTCTTTTAGTTCAAGCAACACATGTATCATTGTTGACTTTTTCTTTCTTATATCTAGTGAAAGGAAAAAGTTCTTTCAAGAAGGACAGAAATTAAGTTTTCTTTTTCCCTAATGCTTCCATGAAGGTCAGGGGCTTTATCTATGAAAAAGTAGCAAATAGTTATTTGTAACCCATGTGAAGCAACAGCCAGTCTTAAAGTAGTCTATTCCTGCTAATGGTTCAAACAATGAATACTAGTGTAATTGTTTGAGCTACTTTTAGTTTCTCTTAATCAAAATTACTAGATGACAGAATTAAATAACTTCTAACATGTTATTACTTGGTATACAGATGATTATCTGAAAGACTCTGTTATGAAAAAAACTGAAAAAATTAATGTTCTTATAATGCTACCCCACAGATACAACACCTTCGTTTACAGCTCTTTCCAGACTATTTTATCTATCTACACATACACACCTACATCTCTTACATCTCTACATCACAGACCATCTTTACAAATCAGTACTCATCCATTGTAACACTGGCATAATATTCCACTGTAAAGATATATCCATTAATTCAACCACAAGAATTATTTACAATACCATGTAACACAAAAGTAAGGAAATAAGCTAAACAAATCCTGTTCCACTAGACTTTCACTTGCTTTTCATATAAACTTGGGTTAGGCAATAAGAAAACCACTGCAATCTTGATTTTTTTCCACTAAATTAAAACCAGTGTTGAATCACAAGTTTCTTTTCCACTTAAATAAATATTATTTTTTTGTTTTATTATAACTAGGCTTCAATCCCAAGTAAACATCATTTCTTTTTTCTTTTTATTGAGGCAGAGTCTCACTCTGTCACCTAGGCTGGAATGCAATGGCACAATCTCGACTCACTGCAGCCTCCGCCTGCTGAGTTCAAGTGATTCTCCCACCTCAGCCTCCTAAGTAGCTGGGATTACAGGCACCCACCAGCACACCTGGCTTTTTGTATTTTTAGTAGAGATAGGGTTTCACCACATTGGGCAGGCTGGTCTTGAACTCCTGGCCTCAAGTGATCCATTGATCCACCCACCTCAGCATCCCAGAGTGCTGGAATTACAGGTGTGAGCCACCACGCCCAGCCGCAAGTAAACATTATTTTAAATCCAAACATACTCAAACCACTCTGAAATAACTCATTTTTCTTCCTTGTATTATATTATTTTTATGGTACGAACTTACAGGCTTTGACAATAAACTAAAAAATGCAGCTAAAGGAAAGATCCAGATTCTCCCAAAATTACTTGAACCTCAAGGAAATTTCCAAAACATACGAACAACAACAAAAAAGTTGTTCCTTGCAGGCACAATGGCTCACACCTGTTATCCCAGCACTTTGGGAGGTCAAAGCGGGCTGATCACTTTCCACAAAAAATTAGCCGGGCATGGTGGCATGCACCTGTAGTCCCTGCTACTTGGGGGGGCTGACGTGGGAGGATCACTTGAGCCTGGGAGATTGAGGCTGCAGTGAGCCACGTTCACACCACTGCACTCTAGCCTGCGTGACAAAGCAAGACCCTGTCTTCACAGGAAGAAAAGATTACTCCTAAGTCATGAAACACTCCTGATGCCCAGTTAAACAAAGCAGGATATGATAGGAAGTACACTAACATCACTTCATGCAATCAGCAAAATGACAGTCTCCCCCAAATTTTCTTTTAAAATTCCTGGGTATAAAAAATAAAAAAAAATTAAAAAAAATTTAAATTCCTGGGTATATATCCAAAAGAACTGAAAGCAAGACCTTGAAGAAATATTTGCACACCCATGTTCATAGCAGCAATATTCACAACAGCCAAGAGGTAGAAGAAACCCAAGTGTCTATCAACAGGTGAATAAACAAAATGTGGTATATACATACCATGGAATCTTCCACTGCCTAAGAGTGGAACTGCTAGCTCATGTGGCAACTCTATGTTTAACATTTTCAGGAACTGCAAAACTATTTTCCAGAATTTCCCCCAAATTCTATATTCCCAGCAGCAATGTATGAGGGTTCCAATTTTCTCCACACCCTCAACAACACTTATGTCTTTTTGACTACAGCCATTCTAGTGGGTGTGAAGTGGTATCCCAATGTGGGTTTAATTTGCATTTCCCTCATGACTAATGATGTTGAGCATCTTTTCATGTGCTTACTGGCCATCTGTACATTATCTTTCAAGAAGTCTATTCAGATCTTTTGCACATTTTTAGTTGGGTTATCTTTTCATTGTTGAGCTGCTGCAGTTCTTTAAGCAGGACTTCACTTGCTGAGATTCCCTATTCCATCCTCTGCTTGACCACTCTATCCAACACCTACCTGGATTCAGTGAAAACAAAACTTAAAATTAACAAAATTATTTAGAAGTCACTTACGTAAGGTTAAATTTGAAATTGAACTGCCAAGTATTGATTCCAGAAGGATATTCTCCCTTCTCATTTGTGAATGTAAGGCCCAGCTGGATAATTTTTAAAAGGTCAACATTGCACCGCAGAAGCTGATACTGGTAATCTATGGAACTACGAAATTCACCAATTGGTCGCACCACAACACCTGGAAATTCTGTGTCCTGGAAAAGGAAAAAGTCTCTCATCACAAGGTTTCAGAAAACAGTGGATGCTGAATTGGTAATTCATAAATAAAATTTTACCTCCATTTATAAAAGTTATGTGACAAGCCCCAAACTTGGGCACAAAATTCTTTTTGTGTTTTTTTGAGATAGGGTTGGTCTGTCTCTGTCACCCAGGCTGCAGGGCAGTAGCACAATCACAGCTCACTACAGCCTCAACCTCACAAGTGCAATCAATCCTCCCCCCTCAGCCTCCCTAAGTAGCTGGAACTACAGGTCCATGCTACCACACCCAGCTAATTATTGTATTTTTTGTAGAGATGGGGTTTCACCATGTTGCCCAGGCTGATCTCAAGTGATCCACCTGCCTCGGCCTCCCAAAGTGCACAGATTACAGGCATCAGCCAACACGACCGGCCAAAATCCTATCTTAAAATACTGACCTTGTTGATATCTACTAAAGAAGCACTAGAATCATGAAGCTTCTCACAACAACTTGATCCTAAATAAGCAGAATGTCAATAGAAAGAGTTGAGTAACTACAGGTAGATATGCAGTCAATTAAGAACGTTCTAGGTTGAGAACAATATATGAATAAAAATACAAATACAGGGAAGTGAAACAGCCATTCAGAAAAAAATATAAAGAGACAGGCTTAGCTTGAGTGAAAAGACTGGAAGGAGCTCTGAATACCAAGCTACAGACTTAACTCTATAATTTCTAAAGCAAGAGTCACAAATTCCAAGCAGCTAATGTAAAGGAGTAAAGTCAGCTAGGTATGAAAATGGTACAACTAACAGGGACTAGAGTAAAACAGAGAGGACATGCCTCTCTACAGGAGGCTTTTAATATTACCACAATACTCATCTCTTTCTCCAGCCAGTGTCAGGCAGGGGTAGATAACATATATTGCCAGGTCTTCCTATTTTTTTTTCAGAGATGCCAGAAATCTGGAATTCAACTGAGTTCTATTGACTTTTAAATGCTGGCAATAAATTTTTAAAATTTTGAATAAACATTGTATAGTCAAATTCACCATATCTGTAGAACAGATGGGCCCCGGGGGTTGATGTAACTTCTGCTTTAAAGACTTTCAAACAGAATAATGTTACAAAAAATCTAAGATACTAGAGGTTACATCCTTCTCAGAGACACTGGCTACCTTGATATTTCATAAAGCAACACAATCTTCCGTCAGGTTTAATTCACAATGGCTTTAGTGGAACATACTCATTCTTTTCAAGATCTCAAATTAAACATTCCCTCAACCCATCCATATAAGAAGGTGAGTCAAGCTGGGCATGGTGGTATGAGCCTGCAGTCCCAGCAACCTGGAAAGGTGAGGTGGGAGGACTACTTGAGCCCAGGAGTTCAAGGCTGCAGTGAGCTATGATTGATTGCATCTGTGAATAGCCACTGCACTCCAGCCTGGGCAACAGAGCAAGACCCCATCTCTAAGAGTAAAAAAGAAGGTGAGTCAGAGTAGAGCTCCTTACCATGGCAATATAACTGTAACTGAGCACGATTTCTCGGATCTTCCTCATCTCTTCTTCTAGATTACTGGCCCATACTTCACAGATAACCTGGCTATTCTCCACAAGTGCTGCAGGCATCTTGAAGAAACCTGAGAAGTCGTCGTCAGCTAACTAGTTTTACAGTGCAGGCCAGACAATGTTTGATCTGATCTAGATTTTAAAACATTTTAAAATCATGTAAGTTTATACACACATAAGATGTCAACAAAACAAAGACATCAAAACAATATTTTACAATCACTTCATTAGTTTAAAACATTAAGATTATTCTCCATTTTATATGATGGGGAAACTCTTGTCAACACACACAAACACACGCAAACACACGCACACACACACACGGTTCTTTCCTGAAGAAACTGAAGTTACTAAAACTTCTGCCCAGCAGTCCTCTGCCACAGAAGTGAAACCACTATCCTAGTTTTTCAGCTCTCTGTAGACTAGACCAAAATAATCCCCAGTTACCACAAATATGCCCTTATCCATGACTTTCACATCACTTTGCACAGGGACCAAATCATGGAAACAGTCCTAAAGGAATCACCTTAGCCATTTTCAATGTACCTGAGATCTCTGAAAGCCTGAAAGAACGTAGACCTAAACTCTCACACTCAAGCCTTTGTACCCATATGATGAATACTGGCATGGGATTCTTCCCCCAACCCACAAAAGGAAATTATTTTTCTCTACAATCCAAAAGTCAAATATAACTAGAGGCAATTAACAATACCAGTGCCTCTTTAGATATACCAGTGCCTCTTTAGATTTGTGCAAACAGAGCATGAAGTGAGGGATTTAAGTGGTAGAAAACAATCCCACTTGCTAATCTGAACCCTAAAAACCACAACGAAAATCAGAATTTGAGTTAGTATTTACGTTTTTTTTTTTTTTTTTTAGATCGAGTCTCGCTCTCTCGCCCAGGCTAGAGCGCAGTGGTGCACTCCTGGCTCACTGCAACCTCTGCCTCCTGGGTGCAAGCGATTCTCCTGCCTCAGCTACCCAAGTAGCTGGGACTACAGGTGTGCGCCACCACGCCCAGCTAAGTTTTGTATTTTAGTAGAGATGCGGTTTCATTATATTGGCCAGGCTGGTCTTGAACTCCTGACCTTGTGATCCACCGGCCAGTATTTACTTTTAAACACATAAATTAAAAGGAAACTATGCAGCAATTCAACAGTAGGACTAAAGATGGCTGGTATAAATCATTCAGCCAGAAACAGAATGATTCATGGTGTATTTTTCAAGAGAAAAATTAGGGAGGGGAAAGTATTCTGTGAGAAAAAAATTCATCATGATTGGGTCTCTGACTAATGCTGTTATTATTATGGCAAACAACACACGTGGCCTGGTTATAAAAATACAAAAAAGTCGGCTGTGGTGGCTCACTCCTGTAATCTTAGCACTTTGGAAGTCTGAGGCGGGCGGATCACAAGGTCAGGAGATTGAGACCATCCTGGCTAACACGGTGAAACTCCGTCTCTACTAAAAATACAAAACATTGGCTGGCTGTGATGTCACGCGCCTGCAGTCCCAGCTACTCCGGAGGCTGAGGCAGGAGAATTGCTTGAACCCAGGAGGCGGAGGTTGCAGTGAGACAGGAAGTGCCACCACAATCCAGCCTGGGCGACAGAGTGAGACTAAGTCTCCAAAAACAAACAAACAAACAAACAACAAAAAATAAAGGCATTTACTTATAAGGCAAGCCCACTGCATGGATCCACAACACAATAGTGGACTCTAATGTATATATTTAAAGAAAATTTCCTAGAAACAGTAAAACGAATGTAAGTGGTTCCCAAAGGACAGAGCAAGGAATATCTTTGCTTCCTACTTTCAAGATTGGCAGATGCAACAATGAGAATCTGGAGCAAAACAACACTGGCATCATTTCTCTAAGAAACTTCTGAGAAATCAAACTGTTGGTTTGCCAGCAACCCTTGAAGATTCCATTTATTCAAGGTATCCTATACTTCTACAGATTTTTCTCTGTAATTATAGTAGTTAAACTTAAGTAGACTATGTGGTATCTCCCCACAAAAACATAGTAGAAACTTCTTAAAGCCAGGATATATTTCTTCTCTTGTTTTTGTTCTATTACAGGCTTGCAAAACAACAATAAAGATCAAGAAAAGAGAGAAGTTCAGAATGAATGGGGAGTAAATTCCACTATCTGACCATAATTCAGAAAATGTTCCAACTCAGAATTTTAGATTCCTAAACTTGCTTAAGATTTCTCCCCTGCAAAAGGCCTTAAAACCATTTTCTATACCCATATAATGTTAAATCAGTGGTACCTCCTTATTCCCTAACTGAAGTAATATCCTTCATTTTTGGTGTCATTTCAAACATAACCATAACTACTTTGGAGGAAGTGGGTGTATCACTCCCGAGTTTTTGGGAGATGTTTCCAGAAAAGCAAAAGCAACAACAACAACAAAAACCCCACACAACCAAAAGATGCCTTTAACCTCCATTTAAAAGAGAACTGGTTTTTAAAAAGTTAACCACTGTTACACATATCTGGCATATATATGGGGACTGCAAAAGCCAGACAGCTGGCAAAAATATGTAAGCCATTTTTGCTCCAAAGTTAGCTAGGATCTGTGGGGAAGTAAACAATAGCTTGCAAGCCCCTGAATGCAGTGCCACTCAAAAATTAAAGAGGAATCACACTATGCACATTTAATTTAGCAAGTCAAATTACTGACATATGTTGGCCAAAAAATAAAATAAAATAGCAACTTAAATACCAGGAGGACGAGCGCAGTGGCTCACACCTGTAATCCCAGCACTTTTGAGAGGCTGAGGTTGCAGAATCACTTGAACTTAGGAGTTCGAGACCAGCCTAGGCAACAAAGTAAGACCCCCCGTCTCTACAAAAAGTACAAAAACTTAGCCAGGCACGGCAGTGTGTGCCTGTAGTCCCAGTTACTCAGGAGACTGAGCTGGGAGGATCACTTGAGCCCCAGGAAGTCGAGGCTGCAGCAGTGAGCTGTGATTACGCCACTGCATTCCAGCCTCAGGGACTGAGCAAGAGCACGTTTCAAAAAAATCATCATCATCATCATCATCATACCAGCAATTCAGCCTGCCACTTTCCACTTCATAAGCACATGCTCCAAAATGACCCTAAGATAGGGGTTTGTCTTCCTCCTTTTAAGCCTCCTCAGTGCAAGCATCTCACAGCACATCACAACTCTATGGCTTTCAAATATGCTTATTTGCACAACACAGCCCCTAAAGGTAACCCTAATTACTTATCTGGGTTACAACCAAAGCAGCAGTAACAAGTTTCAAAACTGAAGGAAAAACTGTCCAGCATGTAGTCACAAACAGGATGCTAATCTCAAGCGTTGAATGTTCCTAAGGAATTTTTAAGGATTAATTTTTATTACATACAATGTTTGCCTCAAGGGCTGACTTAAAAACTTGACTCCCACATGAGCTACAGAGAAAACTGTGCAAGAGGGAAAGGTTTTCACAAACACACACACCCCTATGAATTACTGAAGTCCCTGCCCTGTGCTGACCTGCAGGGCAGTATGTTCAGATGGCTCCCGTTGATCTACAGTGTAAACTTCTCCAAAACATAACTCCTTATTTACACAGGAAAGCTCTGAAGGGCAACTAATGATAAAGCCACCGGAACGTTTTCTCTGCAAGCAATCAAGGCCTTGCTCGGGAAAAGAAATGTTGAGTCTGATTTTGTTTGTTTAAGCCCAAGTGTACAAGGAAACTATTAACATCACTTCCCTATTCGAGAGGACTGAACAAAGGCTTTGCCGTGCCTAGATAAGATAGAAAAGGAAGTGGCACGTTTGAAGAAATAAATAGCAGCAGCGTTTAAGAGGATCCTCTGACTCTCCCCTACCTCCAAACACAGTGTCTCAAGGCACTGTCCTGGACTGAACCGCAGTTCAAACTTCTTAAAACCACCCGAACGGCCCAGGTCTGTGAGTTGGCTCCTCCATTCCTAAAGCCATAGAACACCAAGAAAAAGTTGTGGGGCCTCAAGAACTAAGAAAGAGGCGGCGACTTAGAAGGGGGAGGCCCGCAAGATTCCATATTCAGGTCCTCCTCCCCACTACTCTGTCTCTCATCATCATTCTCTTCTCGTTTATCATCATCTTTCCACTTCAAATCACACTCAGTCCTCCTCCTTCTGACACGCCATTCTTCTTCTGTGTTTGTTTGGTAAAGCAAAGTTAAAATTACGGGCCTTAGGACTAAGAGAACTAAGTTCGAAGCCAGGTCAAGCCACGTAGTTGTGCGTCCTTGCATAAGCTACTTAACCTATTTCGTGCCTCAGTTTTCCTATCTTGTAAAATGGGTTTGATAACAGTACACACCTCGGACGATTGGAGGAGAAGTTAAAATGAAGCATATGAGGTGCTTTGTAAAGTCCCCACACATATCACTCGAATATTACCATGTGGCGGTGGCCATTATTATTACTACTCTTTGCTGGGTTTTCTCTCATCACACACCCTGCCCCTTACACACACCCCTACTCCCCTTCCCCCACCGACCCCCCATGGTCTCTCACACTCTTCCGTCTTACGCTCCTCTTTCCGGTAAGCGCAGGCCCGCTTACCGTGACCGGCAGGGCCCGCGAAGCACTGGCTAGTGGGCTGGCGGGCTGACTCTCGGACGGCGGCGGCGACAGCAGCCCCTGACCCGGAGCTCTCTTCCCTCTACCCCGGATCTGCTCCTAAAACCGAACGAGCCAGTGAAATGGGCGCCCACGTGCCCAGAGCGGCCTTACGTACCTCCCACCAAACAACCGGACGGCACCACTCTACCCACCCGATCCGCCCGACTCGCCTGCTCTCTAGAGTCGCTCCAGACGCGCGCGCGCCTGGTCACGCCCGCTCCTCCCCCTTTGCGCGCCCCTGCGACTCCGTGCGTGTTCGCTCCGCCCGTGAGCTCCCGGGAAGCAGCGCGCAGGCGCAGAAACAACAGGGCGCCGCCGAATAGGTGGGAAGCGGAGGCCTGGAAGCACGCTCGCGGAAGGCGGCCCTCCCGCGGCCCTCTTCGCGTGATTAGTTGCGCTCGCTCAATTTAATCATGATTATTACTCCTCCATTTTGGTTCTCTTTCCGCGCGAACAAGGAAGGGGCGTGCTCTTGAACAACCCCTCCTGCCGTGGGCGCGGCCTGGAAAAATCCAAAGGCCGAGGAAAGGGCGTGGCCCTTCGAACAAACCCCCACCCCGAATTACCACGCCCTCTCCTTCTGGCTTTGAAGGACCGTTAAAACCGTTGGCCCGACGGGATTTGTGGCGAGGTTGACGGAGAAAAAGGCTGTCCTGGCTTTCTGTTCTAATATGGCCCCCTAGATGCCTCACTTACAAAGCATCTATCTTACGGTTCCTTTCTGGCAAACAATTAGTTGGGGGTGGGGCGGCTCCCGAAAGCCGAGGGTGGGTGACGCCCGCCAAGGCCCGCCTACCTCCCGGCCTCACCCAGCCGAGCGAGGAACATTGCCATAGCAACTGGCCCGCCAGGGTCTGCTCCAGTTACAAAGAGGACGGCGCCTCCCGTGGGCACGGCGCCTGGCCAGCGCAGGCGTCGCCGGGCTCTTCAGAGCTCCAAAACCTTTGCGAACGCGCAGGGAGCTCGCCAGATTTTAGTGTCGAGACCCACGGGCTCAGGCCTCGCCCAGGAGCTTCTGAGGCCCCTCGGCCAGCCCTTTGGTTCCCTTTTAATCCTGCTTGGAGACAGGGCTCTTGACCGACGCCCGCCCTGGGCAGCGTGTGACCAGCTGGGGCGCGCCTCCGCCTCGTGTTCTCCGCGGTGGGAGAGAAGACAAAGCGCCGGCTTCCTGCCCACAACGTCGGCGGCGGGCCGCCCTCAGCCACTCTGGCCAGCGCTCCACCCCTGTTCCCGAGAGGACGTGGGGGCTGCCCCAGGCACGGTTCTAGTCCTTGTCCCAGATGCTTCTACTTGAGGTGCTGTTGATAAGAGAACGGCAAATGCACCCCTAGTGACCGGGAGAGGGGCTTCTACTATTCACTTTGCACTTTTAAACATTTCTTCCTAAGGGGATTCTCCAGAATCCTTCCAATTCCTAGGCTGGCTGCCGAGCTGGCCTTGAGCGGCAATTTCAAACGGGATTCCCAAAAGCTATTCTCCAGGGAGGTGAACTCCTAGCTCCAGCCTCCAGGATAAGAGCATCAAATGCACTTTCTGAACTCCAGTCCCCCTCTTCTCCCCTCCAAATGAGTGTTTAGCTCCTTATCTGCAAAATTAGGATACCAGTGGTTCTCATGAGCTTGTGAAGATTAAATAGTTAATAATTGGAAAAACACCCCGCACCAAGGAAGATATAAAAGAGCGTTCGATAAACGGCATGTCTCAGTTTGCTCTCTCTATAACAGTCGATTTGGGGCCGGGCGCGGTGACTCCCTGAGCCTGTAATCCCAGCACTTGGGGAGGCCGAGGCGGACAGATCACCTTAGGTCAGGAGTTCAACACTAGCCTGGCCAACATGACAAAACCCTGTCTCTACTAAATAATACAAAAATTAGCTGGGCGTGGTGGAGGGCACCTGTAATTCCAACCACTCTGGAGGCTGAGGCAGGGAGAATTGCTTGAATCTAGGAGGCGGAGGTTGCAGTAAGCCTAGATCGCGCCACTGCACTCCAGCCTGGGCAACAGAGCAAGACTCCGTCTCAAAAAAATAATAAACAGTGATTCGGTTGAGGAATACACTGATAAAGAAGGCAGGCAAGTTTCCCATTCACCAGTCAGTTCTGTGGGTTTCTAACGTGCTTTCGCCCACTTATAATTAGAGTCAGGAGAGGCTAGCACTGACAGGCAGGCAGTAGTCACATGAAAAGTGGCCTCCCCAGTCCTTTCTTGGAATTTTGTTTTTTCCTGTGGCACTGTGCCTGGTGTGTGTTAAAACAAACAGGAAACACCGTGTCCAGCCCCACCACCACCGCTCACCCAGAACTGGGTGCTCGTTTCTCAAATTATTGAAAACAAATACAAAGCAAGCATAGATGGATTGTATTTTAGGAGGAGCTGGAATGTTATTTTATTTTATTTTATTTTATTTTCACATTTAATAAGATTCTTCCACTTTAATGCATAAAACCCTTTGATATCAGTGTCAACCAGGAAAATTCATGTTAGAAAAAATTGGAATGAGAGCTAATATTCTATATTCAGAACATTTGAGAAAGCATTTTTGACTATTACAAAAGTTTATTTAACAAAAAGTCTAATATGAAAATGTATATGACCTAATTTCCCTATGGAGAGAGGACATGGGTTTCTCTGCTGAACAGCCATTATTTATACTCGTTCCAAGGCTTCTAACATGATGATACTATTTCCTCGTATTACCACCATTCCAATATTGTTCTGTTGCCCACTAGTTGCCATCTCCACACATTCATCTATCACAAGGTTCATAAAGGGATCAAATCCCCGCAATATTCCTTGGACATGTCTGCCACCATTTAATTTCAATGATAACTTCTTGTCCATAAATTTTTTCAACTCGGGAGGGTGAGCTTTGCTCATGGCGTATACTCCACGGGCTCACAGACGCCTTGGAACTGAATCTATTTTATTTTTTAGACAAGAGTCTCGCTCTGGCACCCAGACTGGAGTGCGGTGGTGCAATCTCTGCTCACTGCAAGCTCCGCCTCCAGGGTCCACGCCATTCTCCTGCCTCAGCCTCCAGAGTAGCTAGGACCACAGGCGCCCGCCACTGCGCCTGGCTTTTTGTATTTTTTTTTTAAGTAGAAAAGGGGTTTCACCATGTTGGCCAGGATGGTCTCGATCTCCTGGCCTAGTGATCCACCCGCCTTAGCCTCCCAAAGTGCTGGGATTACAGGCATGAGCCACCGCGCCTGGCCTAGAGTGTTACCTTTTGAACATTGGATATGATGCTGTACTCATGGATATTGCAAACTTAGAATAATTTTCCAGAAGTCACTGCTTCCCAGTCGGAAGGAGGTCCCAAATGAATGAGACGGTAGTTGGAAAAGAATATATTCAGTGATATCATTTCATATTTGAGAAAAAAACTCTACTGCTTTTTGAGATGAGGGTCTTGCCACGTTATCCAGGCTGGTCTTGAATCCCTGGGCACCCAGGCTCAAGTAATCCTCCCCACTCAGCCTCCTGAGTACCTGGGATTACAGGTGCATGCCACTGCTCCTGGCCCCTACTGTTTTTGAGCTGCAAACTATAGAAAGTCAGGTTCCAACAAATCTCATTTGGGAGAGTATACGTTTTTGGTTTTTGGTGTTTTGTTTGTGTGTTTGTTTTTTGAGATGAGTTTCGCTCTTGTTTCCCAGGCTGGAGTGCAATGGCCGGATCTTGGCTCACCGCAACCTCTGCCTCCCAAGTTCAAGCGATTCTCCTGCCTCAGCCTCCAAGTAGCTGGGATTACAGGCATGCGCCACCATGCCCAGCTGATACTGTATTTTTAATAGAGACGGGGTTTCTCCATGTTGGTCAGGCTGGTCTCGAACTGTCGACCTCAGGTGATCCACCCGCCTCGGCCTCCTAAAGTGCTGGGATTACAGGCGTGAGCCACCGCGCCAGGTCTTCTCAATTTTCTTAAACTTATACTCTCCTGCCGGGTGCGGCGGCTCACGCCTGTAATCCCAGCACTTTGGGAGGCTGAGGTGGGCGGATGACGAGCTCAGAAGATAGAGACCATGGTGGAACCCCTTCTCTACTAAAAATACAAAAAAAATTAGCTGGGTGTGGTGGCGCACGCCTATAATCCCAGCTACTCGGGAGGCTGAGGCAGGAGAATCGCTTGAACTTGGGAGGTGTAGGTTGCAGTGTGCCGAGATCGCGCCGCTGCACTCCAGCCTGGCGACAGAGAGCGAGATTCCGTCTCAAAAAGAAAAAAAGAAAATTGAGAAACACTAGTTATAAAATGAATGGGACCCCTTAAGAACCACACAGCTGTCCAGGCGCGCTGGCTCACGCCTGCAAGGCGGGCGGATCATGAGGTCAGGAGATTGAGACCATCTTGGCTAACGTGATGAAACCGCGTCTCTACTAAAAATACACAAAATTAGCCAGGCGTGGTGGCAGGCGCCTGTAGTCCCAGCTACTCCGGAGGCTGAGGCAGCAGAATGGTGTGAACCCGGAAGGCGGAGCTTGCAGTGAGCTGAGATCATGCCACTGCACTCCAGTCTGGGCGCCACTGCCAGACTCTGTCTAAAAAAAAAAAAAAAAAACCCCGCTGATGTCTGATGTCTGATAACAGGAAGACCAATCAAGCTTTCCCATTATTCCCAACTCAGATCTGCATTCTCCCAGGCTCTCAAGGTCTCTCCTCAGGAACACTTCGTTTCAAGGAGATCAACCAGGAGGATTGAGCAATTCCTTGAAGATAGGATGGCGAGGCCGGGCATGGTGGCTCATGCCTGTAATCCCAGAACTTTGGGAGGCCAAGGAGGGTGGATCTCCTGAGGACAGGAGTTAAAAACCACCCTGGCCAACATGGTGAAACCCAGTCTCTACAAAAATACAAAAATTAGCCAGGCATGACGGCAGGTGCCTGTAATCCGAGCTACTCAGGAGGCTGAGGCAAGACAGTCACTTGAAACTGGGAGGTGGAGTTTGCAGTGGGTCAAGATCACACCATTGCACTCCAGCCTAGGCAACAGAGCCAGACTCCATTTCAAAAAAAAAAGATAGGATGGAGAGAACACCCAGGAAGACTGCAGACCTTCTCACTAGAGAGCTGCTCTTCTCTCTAAGGCTTGCTCAGCAATCAACTATTTACTGAAGACCAGTGTTACTAGTGCCAGAGTTATTACTCCCATGGAAATACATAAAGACCCTATATGAAAAT